CTGTCTGTCTGTCTGTCTGTGTCTATCTGTCTGTCTGTCTGTCTGTCTCTCTCTCTCTCTCTCTCTCTCTCTCTCTCTCTCTAGCTAGCTAGCTAGCTATCTGTCCGTCCGTCCGTCCGTCCGGAGCACCACTTGAACTCACCAGAGAAGAAGTTCTTAGCACGTAGATAACTGACACTCAGCCGCAGGATGGAGAGTTTGTCCAGGCTGCTCGTGACATCCTCTGGAAACGGAAGGAGACTGGCCAACCGGTCCAACTCGGAATTTAACCGATCTCGATGACGTTTGGACGGGTTAGACTTCACCCCTTCAGCTGGAGCCTGCTTCACCCTGAGCACAAGAGCACACTTCTTTAAAAAAAAAAAACACTCCTCAAGATCACATTCAACAGTGTTTTTCACATGCAAGGTGTGTTTGGACAGAATCACGGACGGCATGAAAATACAGAAGCCACAATCACAAGTGTCCCATTAATTTGCACAGGCTTCTGTTGTTGTTTTTTGCATATTGTTACCACGTTACTAATTTTGCATATTGTTGTGTCTGTGCTGTTCTTGGTTATACTAATAGATTTCAGTGTTTGATTTTAAGGAAATGTGTGTGCACCTTTGTACAATAAACACATTAGGGTCACCAACCTAACGTAAAATCTGAGCCCTGACACACACACACACAATTCATCTGTTACTGTAAATATGAATATGAGATTTTATAATAAAAAAAGATATCTCTATAATTCAAAGATATCATAAAAAAAGGGGAAATTGTAAGGAAACAATCACTACAGACAGTAAAATGACTTTAGACAAATGCAGCTGATTGAAATATTATAGATAAAATATAATGAAAAATATTTTACAAATACAAAACAAATTTAATTAGCAATTATGTTATCAAAGAGAATAAAATAAGTTCTTAATGGTTTATGTAACGATATAAGCTTATGATACCTATCTGGTCTACACTTAGGTGGCAGAATTATATATTAGGTATTTTATTACAGTTATAATTAAAAATATTAATTTAATTATTAGAAGTATGAATTCTAGGCTAAATCTAGTAAGCTTATATTGATAAAATCATTATGTTCTAACAGACATGTAAATGATAATTTTACACCAAATATCAATTCACTACACGGTCTAAATAATAATAAAAAATGTAAATTCAACATTATGCAAAATTAAATATTTCAGCTTGATAATTATACAATAATAAAATAAATTATATTATAAATGACACAACACATAATATACAATGAAATATTTCCCCAGATTTGCACATTTAATTTTCGGGAATAGAATAGTATAGAATAAAATAGAATAGAATAATTTGTTTCGTACACGATAGTTTCATTTGACCAAAAATGGAAATGAAAAGACAAAACACCTTATACAAGTTACATGAAAACTGTGATATGGTATTACGTAGCATAACAAATATTGCAGCACTGGATTTTAATACTAATACCAGTTATGCTTTGATTATCTTAAATAAAATAATTCAATATAATAATAATAATAAATATTTACTGTAGACAGATGCAACAGACTACACATGCGATTTGGGTCATTACTGTACGGTGTTGAGTCTTAATTTTAAATGAATTAAAATTAAAAAATTGATAATAGGCAATCTAAACATTCATAACACACACACAAACACACATTTATTATAATAACTTACGTTCTTTGCACTGGTTTTCTTCTTTTTCGTCCTGCATACATGTTTAAGGCGTCTGGACAGTCCAACTCTGAAGCTCGAATGACTTCAACCCACAATTTACAACAGATAAAATCTCGATCTGTCTACTTAAACGAGAGAGAAAAAAAAATCTGATTTCCTGTACAGCTCATGGGTGTAAAACATTCAAAAATCAAAACAAGTGTTATTGTATAAAATGTGCACCCAGAATCCCTACTGCCCCAAATTGCATTGAATATCAGTCTAATAAACTTAAAACGCCAAAATAGAGATGTGAAAAAAAGTGTAATTCCTCTTCAGATCACACTTAAGCATTCATATGAGAAGTGACAGCAGGTCTTCTTCATCACATTAGTCATCCTCAGTGCTGCGGAGTCTGTATAAACCGCCATCCACAGTCATATGCTCGGATAAAACAATACATTTGAATCTATATTTACACAGAACGGGCAAAATAAACCAACTCCACTGTCATAATTTGTTCGAGCTTCGTGTCTAACTCATTTTCGTCCGAGCTGCTCCACTAAGCCCCCTCTGCGCAGAGCATCAGAGGCCACGGCTTAAAGGCAAAGGGGAAAATCTCCTAGGATACAGGACGTCAGGATTTACGTCTCCTGTGATTGGTCAACGCGCTTCAAAATTACGAGTACTCGCTTATATATAATTAATAAAACAGCAGTTAATATTAATAACGAAACGTGACGGGCAGAGGACTTGCAGAAAAGCAGACGCGGACGTTGGCCACGACGAATCATAGTATGGGGTTAGAATTCGATTATGAATACTAATGAGATTATAATGCTGGGCGTCAATAAACGCAGGCGAGTCTGATTAATATTCATTAGACTTAGACACTTCTAGCGAATCAGGGAGAAGAGAACCTCACAGGTGTTTTTTTTTTAAATTACCGTACCTCTATAAACAAATACAATAAAAATATTGAATACAATAAATACTTTTAAGAACAAATCGATACACATACATAAAAAACAACAACAACACGTATGTAATTTATTTAAATCTAAACGTTTTAAAATAAGATTTCAAATTCTATTTTTTTAATGGGATGAAAAAACATCACTATTTCATAGTTTTATTGCCATAACACGGTGTAATCCCGGGTTAATTCCTTTTGCAAGCTCCTGTTATGATGCATCATTTCCTGCGCTTTCAAAAAGCTTTTTATAAAGCTGCTCGGCATGTATTGACTATAATGACGTTATTATATAACACTTGTTTATGGACCACAGCAAAATCCCTTTAAATGCATGCAAGCTCTTCCATTCACATTGCACACATCTGTTTCATACGCATGCATTAAAAGGGAAGTAATGAATAAAAGATGATTCGAAAATGATTGCATATCTCCCCGATTTGGTTCTAGGACACTCTATAAAACTGTGGGCGACCACATTCGTGGAGTTACAAGAAAACCCATATGCAACCTTCCTTTTTTGCCAACTGAACATGGCGGAGAAACTCATTTCAGCTTACCTTCCTAAAAGTTTCACTTTACACTAGAAGTACAGTAGGCTATATACACCGCTGAAATAGTGTATGCTGGCACACATTCAAAATATATACATTAGCGCCCCCATGTGGTAAACATCTATCTATCTATCTATCTATCTATCTATCTATCTATCTATCTATCTATCTATCTATCTATCTATCTATCTATCTATCTATCTATCTATCCATCCATCCATCCATCCATCCATCCATCCATCCATCAACAGATAAAATCTCGATCTGTCTACTTAAACGAGAGAGAAAAAAAAATCTGATTTCCTGTACAGCTCATGGGTGTAAAACATTCAAAAATCAAAACAAGTGTTATTGTATAAAATGTGCACCCAGAATCCCTACTGCCCCAAATTGCATTGAATATCAGTCTAATAAACTTGAAACGCCAAAATAGAGATGTGAAAAAAAGTGTAATTCCTCTTCAGATCACACTTAAGCATTCATATGAGAAGTGACAGCAGGTCTTCTTCATCACATTAGTCATCCTCAGTGCTGCGGAGTCTGTATAAACCGCCATCCACAGTCATATGCTCGGATAAAACAATACATTTGAATCTATATTTACACAGAACGGGCAAAATAAACCAACTCCACTGTCATAATTTGTTCGAGCTTCGTGTCTAACTCATTTTCGTCCGAGCTGCTCCACTAAGCCCCCTCTGCGCAGAGCATCAGAGGCCACGGCTTAAAGGCAAAGGGGAAAATCTCCTAGGATACAGGACGTCAGGATTTACGTCTCCTGTGATTGGTCAACGCGCTTCAAAATTACGAGTACTCGCTTATATATAATTAATAAAACAGCAGTTAATATTAATAACGAAACGTGACGGGCAGAGGACTTGCAGAAAAGCAGACGCGGACGTTGGCCACGACGAATCATAGTATGGGGTTAGAATTCGATTATGAATACTAATGAGATTATAATGCTGGGCGCCAATAAACGCAGGCGAGTCTGATTAATATTCATTAGACTTAGACACTTCTAGCGAATCAGGGAGAAGAGAACCTCACAGGTGTTTTTTTTTTAAATTACCGTACCTCTATAAACAAATACAATAAAAATATTGAATACAATAAATACTTTTAAGAACAAATCGATACACATACATAAAAAACAACAACAACACGTATGTAATTTATTTAAATCTAAACGTTTTAAAATAAGATTTCAAATTCTATTTTTTTAATGGGATGAAAAAACATCACTATTTCATAGTTTTATTGCCATAACACGGTGTAATCCCGGGTTAATTCCTTTTGCAAGCTCCTGTTATGATGCATCATTTCCTGCGCTTTCAAAAAGCTTTTTATAAAGCTGCTCGGCATGTATTGACTATAATGACGTTATTATATAACACTTGTTTATGGACCACAGCAAAATCCCTTTAAATGCATGCAAGCTCTTCCATTCACATTGCACACATCTGTTTCATACGCATGCATTAAAAGGGAAGTAATGAATAAAAGATGATTCGAAAATGATTGCATATCTCCCCGATTTGGTTCTAGGACACTCTATAAAACTGTGGGCGACCACATTCGTGGAGTTACAAGAAAACCCATATGCAACCTTCCTTTTTTGCCAATCAATAAACGCAGGCGAGTCTGATTAATATTCATTAGACTTAGACACTTCTAGCGAATCAGGGAGAAGAGAACCTCACAGGTGTTTTTTTTTTTAAATTACCGTACCTCTATAAACAAATACAATAAAAATATTGAATACAATAAATACTTTTAAGAACAAATCGATACACATACATAAAAAAAAACAACAACACGTATGTCATTTATTTCAATCTAAACGTTTTAAAATAAGATTTCAAATTCTATTTTTTTAATGGGATGAAAAAACATCACTATTTCATAGTTGTATTGCCATAACACGGTGTAATCCCGGGTTAATTCCTTTTGCAAGCTCCTGTTATGATGCATCATTTCCTGCGCTTTCAAAAAGCTTTTTATAAAGCTGCTCGGCATGTATTGACTATAATGACGTTATTATATAACACTTGTTTATGGACCACAGCAAAATCCCTTTAAATGCATGCAAGCTCTTCCATTCACATTGCACACATCTGTTTCATACGCATGCATTAAAAGGGAAGTAATGAATAAAAGATGATTCGAAAATGATTGCATATCTCCCCGATTTGGTTCTAGGACACTCTATAAAACTGTGGGCGACCACATTCGTGGAGTTACAAGAAAACCCATATGCAACCTTCCTTTTTTGCCAACTGAACATGGCGGAGAAACTCATTTCAGCTTACCTTCCTAAAAGTTTCACTTTACACTAGAAGTACAGTAGGCTATATACACCGCTGAAATAGTGTATGCTGGCACACATTCAAAATATATACATTAGCGCCCCCATGTGGTAAACATCTATCTATCTATCTATCTATCTATCTATCTATCTATCTATCTATCTATCTATCCATCCATCCATCCATCCATCCATCCATCCATCCATCCATCCATCCATCTGCATTTACACTGCCGCCCAGTAAAATAACCAGCTAATACCATTGAGTCATCGACCCCCTTTTAATATTATAAAGATATCAATGAGAGGCACAACAAAAATGAATCATTTGATAATACACATACAAAACAAACGAAAGCTATATTTTATATATAGATGTATATATATATATATAATATAGATGTGTGTGTATAGCCTGTATTTGTGGGACATCCATTTACGCATACAGATTTTACAGTTGTGCGGAACAATATACAAAATAACATACAGAGAACACGTATAAGCATTTGCAATGCTGGGTGCACAAGCAAAGAAACAAACCAACAAAGATACTGCATTTAGAGAGGCCTCACAAACATGACTTTATGCAAGAAACGGGCATCTGAAGTGCTATTATTTCTTCCTAAAGGATTCGTAGTTTAGTGGTGAAGGGGAGGACGTCCTAACAAGTGTGCATGAACGATTTTTTGGCACTGGGGTATTTCAATGCTGTTAGTGAGGTCAATGCATCCTGTACTGGTGCTTCATCCACTACTAACCTGCTTTATTTAATGGCACAGGAAAAGAAAGGGTCATTTTCTGGACCGCTAAACCTTGTCTAGTCAAAAATAACTCATATTCAGGCACCTTAACGAAGTCATGAACATGAAACTGTCTAATACAGTCTCCTAAGTAGATATACAGGATTCAAGCGACTAGTAATCTGTCTATCATCACTGAAAACAAAATTTCAGTTTAAAAATGTCTGATATTTAATACAGTGGTTCTCAACTGGTGGGTCGAAGCCCAAAAATCGGGCTGCACGTCTGTTTTGATTGGAAAAATATGAGCCAGATACCACAATGCCTCTTAAACAGCAACTTATTTGCTGTAGAAAAAATAATATTATTTCATTTCTATTTCATATTAAACATTATTATAACATCTTATTGAATTAAGGGCATTTAAGCAAGCAAAGCAAAACAAAATATACAACAATTTTTTAAAATTGTGTGTCATTTTCTATTTCACACAAAGTGTGAAAAATGTATTGCAAGTATTGAAGAAACATAGAATGCCAGCTATGAAATTAGCAAATTTTAATTCCAAAAATGTTTAAAAGATCATTCCCAACACATAATTGCTATCAAACATGTATTGAAAATTTGTACAATGAACGCCACTGTAAAATCTGAGTCCTGAAGCAAAACCATTTGAGAACCACTGATTTAATATACAGCACTGTGGACGGAGCTACCCAGTGCAAAAAGAGCTTTAATTGCCTGGTTAAGACATGGCGTACTAGATATTTTAAAGCATGGAAATGAACATCAGAGCAAATCAAAACACATCGCTATTATTTGTGCGTAATCAATCTGTCAGCAGATAAATGAACCAATGATCATCCATTAACCAATCATCTAGCGATTTCCTAACCTCCTCTCTTAACCAGCAGATGTCTGGCAATAAAACACACAACACTTATTTACATCACCTCAAAGCCAACAACTCCTTTAGCTTTCAGTTCAAACGAAACCAAAAGGGAAAAAATGTAGCAAATCTCAGAAAACCAAAGCTGTTTTAAGGCACTTCAGAAGACAGACGGGCAGAATGTGTGTCCTGTAACTCTTTAACTGTGAGGCTATGTACAACACTTGGCAAACTAACATAATCTATTCCGTCCATGCCAACAACAACCTAAAAACATTGCTTCTCAGATTCAATTATAGCTGCCATTTCAATTCCTTTCCTCCTCTGCAAGCCACAATCATTTCATCCAAAGAGTGAAAACGGGAGGGAAATAAGCGAAATATCCTTTGGGCAGAAAGAAATTAAGGCACACAGCGTTCCCATTTCAGATGATGAAAGGAAAAGGCTTTGGGTGCACGAGTTTGAGGGCTCTATATATTCGCTGTCATTATCACATCATACTTTCTGTTCTTACTGCAGGGAGAAAAAACAAATCTCAAGAAGCAACAGCAGTCGAAAGCATACGTTAAGGCTAAACTGTTTTCAGAAAGTAGCTAACGATTTATTTTGTACAATAAAACCAAGAAGTCATATTTCCATAGCTACAGAATCTCATACAAATATGTTTTGGTATATTTACACATTCAAAATGCTGATACAATCGAATCAAACGGCTTTATATTCTTCCAAAATAAGGCACAAAGAGGACTACGGACTTTGGGCCTCATTCCCCTAACCTAATTTCCATGTAAATCGCATTCAATTTAACGCGTAAAATTGACACAAAACGAATTTTCCGAAAGATTCACAGAAGTTTGTTTCGCACGTTTTTGAACACATTCTCTACATTGTGTTTATTCGAAACTTTTTGGCTGCTGCTGTATCTCCTGATCGACCAAGAAAGATGCTATAGGTCAGTAAAGAATTTCATTGTGGCCATAAAAAAAAACAATCAAATCTACTTTTTCTTCTGAAAATTCTCTCTCTCTCTGTCATTAAATTTCACCTTTTCTTCTGGAGGCAGGATACGCTGGCTGCTGTGATTCTCATGGCACGCAACACGATTTCAGAAATCCTAGAATTCTTCCATGTTAAAGCATTAAAGCAAATAGAAAGCATGAGCAAATTAAAAGTGGACAAAAATGGCTCAATGGCATTTCCATAGTTACGATTACGATATGCATAAAAAAGTACAAAAGATGATTTTTAAACAAACAAAACAAACAAAAAAATACAAATACATGATAAGCGATAACATTCAGATATTGTAATACACATGAAACATATGGTTAAGGCAACCATAAAAGGGTGGCAAGAGCATACTGTACTAAAGACATTACGGTTTCGTTTTTAGTCCTTGAATGGAAAAAGTGTTGTGTAAAAGAAAAAGTGGCCTATTTCTTGGGACTATCAATTTTCAGATCCATTTTTTTAAATCCAAAATTGCCTTGGGCAACTTTACAACTTGCAGTAGGTGGAGCTTCAGGGAAGTTCTGGGACAATTTTGCAGTCAACAAATCAATGATTTGTTCGGACAGTCCAATGGTGCCACAGAGGCCATCAGTAGACTATTAATTTCTTTAGAGAAACTGATGTCTTAAACATGGGGTACATTGATAACAGGTCAATTTCACCTTCTCAAGTGCATAATTGGCTAAATAAAAGGGTCTGGCTGAGGCTGTTGCTCTCTCTAATGAGACAGACTTTCCCTTTTTGAAACAAAACTTACCCCAATAAATAGCATCTTGTGTGCACTAGGAATTTATTTCCTCAGAATCTCATCCCAGCAATTAAAAGGTTCACACACCTCTATCACCTATCTCACACCTATCTCTACCTGCTATCTCAAGTCTTTTTTCTTGCCAGAATGGAAAAACAAAACAATATCTATCAGGGATGAAAGGACGTGCTTTAAAAAAAAAAAAAAAGAATTTCTTTCTGCTACGGCACACTTCTAATCAGAGAGGGTGTGAACAAGTGAAGAAGTAGACAAGTGTGAAAAAAATGTGTGGTAAATTCGCAATTTTAAGTTCTGCAATGTCTTGCAGGTTTTCAGCCAAGAGTGTCTTTAGAAGTGAATGCATGTCTATCGAGGGACAAACAAGTTGCTGTATTTATGCGTTTTCTTCCTCCCCTAGAAACAGGTACTGCACTGTTGATGTGTCAGTCGCTGCATTGGGTGTGATCTACCACTAATAGTCACAGCAATTGTTTTGGTTGTTCTTGGAAAAGAAGGCATTTCCACTGGCCAGCGAGGGAAAATGGAATGTTTCTTTCTCCTCAAGTGGATGGTTTGCGACCTGTGGAGGGACAAAATTGAAACCATTAAAGGAATGTTTTATCCATTCCGTGGCAATCATGACATGATTTTCATTAAGTTGTGCATGGAAAAGAATTTAAAGCAGAACTCTCTCCATTCTGAACTTTTGCGCCCAGTCTGTAGTTACTGACGAATTGTTTTGATGGCTTCCTCTACTTTTCAGGGTTTTGACAAAAACGTAACAGTACAGTATGTAAATGACTCTAATGAGCCAGTTCTTTTAATGAACAGTTCAAAAAGACAATGTACTGGTTTGAACCTGCCGTTAACTTCGCTTTGTTTAATTTACAGCATTAATGGAAATAATTTATTTTTCTTATCTAAGTGAAATGGAAAATATGACTGAAAAACACCTAAATTAATCAAAATTCAGAGCTTGGATTTCAGAATTATACCGTATTGGCCCGAATATAAGACGACCCTGATTATAAGACGACCCCCCTTTTTCCAGATGTACCTTTTGGAAAAAGGCTTTTTTAAAAAACAAATCTTGTTTTTTCTCAGTAAAACACATTTTGTCTTCAATTAGTTTCATATTGCATATTTTTCCTATTTTAATTTTTGTTTTGAAAGTATGGTAAAAACTGGTAAAATGTACCAACAATCACATTTAAAAATATACACTTTTTGATATACCATTAAAAAAAAACAACAGGTAGCCCATATGAATTAGGACATTTAGGCTATCCATCTAATAGTAGCCTACCAAAATCGTATTAACAGTAGAAGTTAAATCTTACTGTAGTCTTCAAATCTGGGTACTGTCTTACGTTTTAAAATCACAAAGGGAGTTTGGTCACAATCTTTACAACACGCATTTACGTATTTCATGGCACACTCGTTTTATGAGTATTTGGCGCCACCTATTGTTGTGGGTGTATTATTGACGTGTCAAAGTCTAGACCCTGAATATAAGACGACCGCATTTTTTCAGATGTATTTCCATGAAAAAAACATCGTCTTATATTCGGGTCTATACGGTATTATATCAAGAAATAAGTATGGATACCCAGTACTACTCTGAACTGCCCTCAATTGATTCCATCAACAAGTTGAAAGAAAACGACTGAGCATGTGGTTAATCAATTCATCTTTAGTGTCTCTTTAGTGTCCACCTCTGAAACTCAAGACTTCCTCAAAAATATATTGTTTTTTCTTTACATATGGTGACAGTAGTAACATCCCAAAAGTGTTGTTTCCCCACAAAGAATTTTGACTGATGGTAGAGCTGAGATAACCCAACCTGTTAAAAAAACCTTGGATGTATGAGGACACAATGAGCCTGGGGTGAGAACAGGGCAGTTCAGCTATTCTCAACCCACCTCAAGACTCAATCTAAAAACAGGGAGTGAGCACACACCTGATGCTTTGATCATTGAGCTAGAGCACACTAGTTTGAAGCTATAATTATACCATGGATTACAATAGTACAGTTTACCTGTGTCTGGCTGTTGTATGAGAGATACTGCTGAGCAAGTACGTTATCTGACGTTAACCCAAGCGGGACTTGACAGGCCATGGGGCTGATGTTGGTGTCCTCTTGTGGGATAACCGATGTGTCCACGATTGACTCGCTAGGACCTCTCTGGTAGTAGAAGGATGCTTGTGTAGGACTCTGGGTAATCAGACCTTTAACCCTCTGGCAGGATGACACTGAAGATACCGGAGCTGCTAAACCATAATGCATCCCATTCACTGAGGGTTGAGGAGTGTTTGTGAACATGCAGCTGTTGGTGGTCTGATGAGGGCTGTTGTTGAAGATCTCTCCTTGCTGAGGATAGATGCTATTTGCAGTTGTCTGGGGCAGGAAACCAGACCCAAATCCTTGTGTGTTTGTGTGCGGCAACAGTTCTCCAAGCAAGTCTTTTTGAAAGTCTGTCACTTCACCAATGAAGCCCGTCATATTCTGTTGCCCACTGGAAAATGGTTTAGAGACCTGTTGAGGGATAGGCTGGGATTGCTGCCAGCCAGGCAGTCCAGGATTGGCAGCGTTTTGAGTGTGAAGAGAAAACTGTCCTTGTAGTTGGGTAGTTGGGCCAGAGTGCAGTCCTGCATCTTGTACACCTGTAACGTTACGGGCGCAAGAGTTCAGCAGGTTATCGGACACCCACTGAGGGTTCTGATTGATTGATGCTTGTTGAGGAAGGGAATTCTGGCTGTGGAAGCCCATTGGCTGGGCAGAAGTGCCCTGCAATAGAGGACTTTGAAGAGGGAGAGTCATTGCGTTGTGATGGGGCTGGTATCCAGTCTGTAGGTTTGTCTGGCCACACGGCACCATTCCATTCTCTTGCACGGCACCTTGCAGACCAAGCCTAACTTGGGTCAGCTGTTGACTCTGCAGGGCAAGAGAAGTATTAAACATAATGTTATTATTGCTGGGCATCTTCTGGGTTGTCTGTTCTAGTCCGAATGACTGGACAGAATTGTCACCAAGTAGCATCTGTTGCCCCATATGGGCGAGCTTCACCATCCCTCTTCCAGGGCTACTGGCATCCAATCCATCTTGGATGTTCATTCCGATGAACCCACCCTGACCTGGGGATCCATCAAGCATATCTGCCTGGAAGATGAATTCCTGGTTAGCAGCTAAGTTACTCTGTAACTCCATCTTTGGAAGACACTCAGGCACCTCAACAAACGGACCCTGGTTCTTGAGGTGTTCGGGCAACTGAACGCCATTTTCCTTAAAAAGTGCATCCTCTACATAAGAGAGGATGTCATTGGTGATGATTTCATTTAATTCTGTATCGTTGTTGTAGTGGAACCTGCTTAGAGTGTTCTCCCACTCCTTCAGGACTGATTCATCCACATCAAATCCCTGAAGGCTGCAGATACTACTGTCCCCAATAATCTGTTGCAAGGATTCCATCATGTCCTTTACCACACCTTCCTCTTTTCCCTCAGCCACAGTGCTTGGGGCTGACGGCTGCCAGGTGTTCCCAGGGACACTGAGCAGGGCGTGGCTATCCCTGAAAGCCTTGTCAAGAGTAAACTGGGAATCGGGCTCACTGCTCTGGTTGTAGACTGAATGATCCTGATTCAGCATGCAGCCGAGAAGAGAATCTGGGTCCAGAGATGGAGGTTTGCGCATCTTCTGGCCTTTGCTCTGATTTTGAATGTCAGTGATGTCCAGTGTGGGGTCAGTCTCATACAAGACACCCTCACCAGTGGCGCAGTTAAAGGGTAGCTGCAACTTTCTTTGACAGAGGTGCTCCTCACCCTCCTCATTACTACAAAATACAGAAATTATATTAATGAGAGATACGAAGAGATTAGAGCAACAACATTATTAAAATGCTGGTTAGCTTACGTTAGTGCTCTTTGTCGAGCAATAATGAAGTCTGGTCTTCCTCCTTTATAAACAAGCCTTGCATTGGCCTGCACCCAGATCCATGTACCCCCTTTCGAGAGAAGTCTGAAGACTGTTAAACCACTCTCTCCAGTCTTTATCACTATGAGAACGAGTAAAAGAAATACATTTTAAAAGACATGCTACGGAAATTAAACTGCTAGTTCATAAACAACAAAAGTTTAACATCAAAGGATAGACTTGGCTTTGACTTAACATTGAATATATGGTGATGGTCTGGCATAACTCACTTTTTATATGGTTGTCAGCACAGTACATCATGTCAGCAGCATGAATGAACTGATAGCCGGAGCCTCTCATACACAGCTCAATCTCACTGTAGCCAAGAACCACCTTTCCTCTGCAAAATGAGAAACAGATAGTAAAAATGTTAATACTATGTTTGTACCACTTACCAAAAATTTGTTGGGCCAATCTGAAGTTGTCTTTTGCTTCTAAATCAAAGCTACCTTGTGTCAATACCCATAGGTGTAAAGTCCAGCTTGTGTTTGGTTTGGAAAAGAAGAGTCTTGCTCCTGATCTCCAGGATAGAGGGTGACTGGAGGGGTGTGGCTATGACAAAAAGAGCCAGTTGAGGGTGGGCCAAGGTCCCATCTTCCGCCAACTTGTTTTGCCCATGGAGATATTTCAGCCTCCCCTGGAAGTTCAGGGCCTTGGGGGCAAAGGAAAGGACATGAAAGTAATTTTAGCCCCATGAGGGTCTGACACTGAGTGCAAACAATTAACAGCTGATTTATTTAGACAGCTGTTGCTGTTACTGCATCATCGTGTACACAGAAAATCAAATATTGTTGAGTCTAGCTCAAAAGGTTCATCTCAAAATGATTCTAAAATATTGATTCTGGATAGTTGCAATAAAGTCACAATAGACATCTAGGATGTTTACCAGGAAGCCGGATGAGTTGTCAAGGAGGCACCGGAATCGGCAACAGAAACTTCGTTCTAAGAAGGCTGAGTTTTCTGGAGGGATGTGTTGAGGGTTGTAGTTTGCCAAGTCTCTGGTGATGTCACCGCTGCTTTGAATTGCTGGAGACCGATTGGTTGTGCCAAACAAAAGTGAAAAAACAAAAAACAGTGATGTAATCGGCTGTGAATCACTAGCAGTGTTCACCATCCTGGGTTTATACAAGACTCCATTTTATAAATCTGAACGGATCCTCCCACAGCTGTCTTGTTCTCCACAAACATACTTTCTTGATTCAGTAATAATAACAACAGAAGTCTGCTCATTCACAAAACATTCAGGGCTGGGCACTGCAGTAAAACTTGACAACACCTTACCAGGAACTCACTGACCCTACTTGGGGATCACTGTTAGGGATAGAGTTGCTACTAACCATCAGATCCTTCGCCACCATCGCACGAAGTGGGATTGAGAGCGAAGTGTAGTTGCTTTCGGAACATTGCCCGATCGTCTGTATGGATGAGCTCGAATGCACTCTGATGGACCACATCTGACTATGAAGACAGTGAGAGAGGTACGCTACAAAAAATGTTCACAGGACATGTTCTGCATCCTGCATGCCCTAATAATCATTATAATATGATAACGGGTTTTCCACTGCCACATTCAAGTTCGGTTGTAATTGTTTATGCCAACCAAATCCTCACTGCATGCTGGGCAAAGGGGTTTATTTTTGTCTTTCTGATGACAAGAAGACTAGAGGTTACAAAATGTATCTACTTGTCCATAATTCTCAAAAGCATTGTTTCATTGACAATTTAGATGTGCAAAAATGGCAACCCTCCTAAACACCTAATTGCAACCTTAACCTATTCCTTGTTTGGAGTGCAACTGATTGGAAAGCAAATTAAACTTTAGTCTCATGTGGCTCAGATTTGAATAAGTATGCATTAAAATCATCACATTTGTTTCCTCTAGTCTAGAGTGTAAGAGGAGAACACACGTTAGGCTGTATTTACTGTATCAAAATGTAGATGCTTCTCTCTAGAGGCTTGGCATAGTAACTGTAGCTTGTCTTGCATTTTCCCTTCTGCCTGTTTCCCCCCCAATCCTCTCTCTCTCCTCAGCAGGCCAATGAAAACAAAGTGTTTGCGCTGTCTGTGTGTGCTAATTGCTGCAGGCTGGACGGTGTGGGATGAAAACCAGACAAGGTCCAGAAACCATTCATGACAACTTGTACCAACAAACACACATTTAAAGGTTAATAAGGACACACAGGCAAGGGAGTAGAAAGAAAAGATACATATTAATTGCTCTAAAATATGTCTACATGTCTCTGATATATTTAAACATATCTCTGTAAAAACTACATATATACAGTAAGTATACACAGATGGATTCAACAGGGCACACTGTGCACAACAATTCAAGCACAAAGCCACACACAGTGATGCTTGGGTAAAACATAGTGATGCTGAGCCATTCTTTTAAATAATACGATTACCTGGGGCCAGTTGCATAAACTTAACCACCATGTTAAGACTGTGTCTTAAGAACTAGTTTGACCAACTAGCAGTTGCCAAGGGGTAATCAGTCTTACATTTTTATAATACAAATAAGAACAATCTACCTTTTGTATATGGTTAAGAAGTACGTACATTTTTAGCACAAAATCAATTCTACAAATACCTAGTCTAAACAGTTTATGCAACTGGCCTCTGGACTACATGATAGAAAAAAGTAATTAGAAGTATGTGAATAGTTATTAGCGACCTAAGTCACATCACTTTTTATATGGTTGTCAGCACAGTACATCATGTCAGCAGCATGAATGAACTGATAGCCGGAGCCTCTCATACACAGCTCAATCTCACTGTAGCCAAGAACCACCTTTCCTCTGCAAAATGAGAAACAGATAGTAAAAATGTTAATACTATGTTTGTACCACTTACCAAAAATTTGTTGGGCCAATCTGAAGTTGTCTTTTGCTTCTAAATCAAAGCTACCTTGTGTCAATACCCATAGGTGTAAAGTCCAGCTTGTGTTTGGTTTGGAAAAGAAGAGTCTTGCTCCTGATCTCCAGGATAGAGGGTGACTGGAGGGGTGTGGCTATGACAAAAAGAGCCAGTTGAGGGTGGGCCAAGGTCCCATCTTCCGCCAACTTGTTTTGCCCATGGAGATATTTCAGCCTCCCCTGGAAGTTCAGGGCCTTGGGGGCAAAGGAAAGGACATGAAAGTAATTTTAGCCCCATGAGGGTCTGACACTGAGTGCAAACAATTAACAGCTGATTTATTTAGACAGCTGTTGCTGTTACTGCATCATCGTGTACACAGAAAATCAAATATTGTTGAGTCTAGCTCAAAAGGTTCATCTCAAAATGATTCTAAAATATTGATTCTGGATAGTTGCAATAAAGTCACAATAGACATCTAGGATGTTTACCAGGAAGCCGGATGAGTTGTCAAGGAGGCACCGGAATCGGCAACAGAAACTTCGTTCTAAGAAGGCTGAGTTTTCTGGAGGGATGTGTTGAGGGTTGTAGTTTGCCAAGTCTCTGGTGATGTCACCGCTGCTTTGAATTGCTGGAGACCGATTGGTTGTGCCAAACAAAAGTGAAAAAACAAAAAACAGTGATGTAATCGGCTGTGAATCACTAGCAGTGTTCACCATCCTGGGTTTATACAAGACTCCATTTTATAAATCTGAACGGATCCTCCCACAGCTGTCTTGTTCTCCACAAACATACTTTCTTGATTCAGTAATAATAACAACAGAAGTCTGCTCATTCACAAAACATTCAGGGCTGGGAACTGCAGTAAAACTTGACAACACCTTACCAGGAACTCACTGACCCTACTTGGGCATCACTGTTAGGGATAGAGTTGCTACTAACCATCAGATCCTTCGCCACCATCGCACGAAGTGGGATTGAGAGCGAAGTGTAGTTGCTTTCGGAACATTGCCCGATCGTCTGTATGGATGAGCTCGAATGCACTCTGATGGACCACATCTGACTATGAAGACAGTGAGAGAGGTACGCTACAAAAAATGTTCACAGGACATGTTCTGCATCCTGCATGCCCTAATAATCATTATAATATGATAACGGGTTTTCCACTGCCACATTCAAGTTCGGTTGTAATTGTTTATGCCAACCAAATCCTCACTGCATGCTGGGCAAAGGGGTTTATTTTTGTCTTTCTGATGACAAGAAGACTAGAGGTTACAAAATGTATCTACTTGTCCATAATTCTCAAAAGCATTGTTTCATTGACAATTTAGATGTGCAAAAATGGCAACCCTCCTAAACACCTAATTGCAACCTTAACCTATTCCTTGTTTGGAGTGCAACTGATTGGAAAGCAAATTAAACTTTAGTCTCATGTGGCTCAGATTTGAATAAGTATGCATTAAAATCATCACATTTGTTTCCTCTAGTCTAGAGTGTAAGAGGAGAACACACGTTAGGCTGTATTTACTGTATCAAAATGTAGATGCTTCTCTCTAGAGGCTTGGCATAGTAACTGTAGCTTGTCTTGCATTTTCCCTTCTGCCTGTTTCCCCCCCAATCCTCTCTCTCTCCTCAGCAGGCCAATGAAAACAAAGTGTTTGCGCTGTCTGTGTGTGCTAATTGCTGCAGGCTGGACGGTGTGGGATGAAAACCAGACAAGGTCCAGAAACCATTCATGACAACTTGTACCAACAAACACACATTTAAAGGTTAATAAGGACACACAGGCAAGGGAGTAGAAAGAAAAGATACATATTAATTGCTCTAAAATATGTCTACATGTCTCTGATATATTTAAACATATCTCTGTAAAAACTACATCTATACAGTAAGTATACACAGATGGATTCAACAGGGCACACTGTGCACAACAATTCAAGCACAAAGCCACACACAGTGATGCTTGGGTAAAACATAGTGATGCTGAGCCATTCTTTTAAATAATACGATTACCTGGGGCCAGTTGCATAAACTTAACCACCATGTTAAGACTGTGTCTTAAGAACTAGTTTGACCAACTAGCAGTTGCCAAGGGGTAATCAGTCTTACATTTTTATAATACAAATAAGAACAATCTACCTTTTGTATATGGTTAAGAAGTACGTACATTTTTAGCACAAAATCAATTCTACAAATACCTAGTCTAAACAGTTTATGCAACTGGCCTCTGGACTACATGATAGAAAAAAGTAATTAGAAGTATGTGAATAGTTATTAGCGACCTAAGTCACAACAGGTGTTGAGACCGCTGTGGCAGTGGGTATGTATTTATGCGTTTATATGTGCAGGTGGTGCAGGCCTGCCAGACTGTGTAACCGTGGCGACCTGGACTTGCGTTACATGCTAGAGAGGGAACGTCACACTCCAGGGAAATTGATTTAGTGAGGAAAAACAGATACGCAATAACAAGCACAGACTATATGCACTCCAACAAAGACACCACAGTTCTTATTCACATATCATATAGGTGTATACATGTAATATACACATTATTTTGATATGTACATACTGTGTGTATTGTAATATTTGTGTGTGCTTTGAGTAAGAATGTATATTTGAGTAGACAATGTGTAATGTATAGCCTGCTTGGTATTATTGCCAGCTATAGCAATGAAATGGCTATTCATTATGTGATCTATACATGCAGTTTAAACAATATACCACACACACACACACACACACACACGTCTGGTTTGCTATCCTTGTGGGGACTCTCCATTGGAGTAATGGTTTTTCTACTGTACAGACCGTATATTCTATTGCCCTACACCAACCCTACACCTAAACCTACCCCTTACAGGAAACTTTGTGCATTTTTAGATTTTCAAAAAAAGCCATTGATCTTCCTTCAGGGTGAGGAAAGTCACGAACCAACAAACGAGTGTAGAATGATACAAATGTTTCCAGGAGAATGACTCATCCATAGATTAGACAACTATGCGGAATTGATCAATTGTTAATAACATAGAATTGTTTGAGGCTGGTATATGAATATCTGTTTTTCTTGGTAAACTGTACAAAGAAACAAACAAATAACAAAACAAACGACCACAAAGGTGGGAAGAGGCCTAGCTTTGTTTAAGTCACTTACCAGCAATATTTGTGTTGATTATAAAAATTTTAACATACGACAAGATAAGAAAAATAAAGCAGTACTTCCAAAATGGAAAGTTTTAATGCAAACTCACCTGATGGAAGCCCAAGTAGTCCTGTATAGTTGGAGATGCATAAAACACATAACCTTCAGCAGTGACCACCATCACAAAGCCATTGAGGGCCTGAAAACGAAATTAGATAGAATTGTGACTGACAATACTAAAACAAAAGTTGTATGGTTGCAATATTTAATAAACAAAATACAGATATGTTCGTTTTGGTTTGTTTTACGCTAAACACAGCGGCTGGGATTGTGAGTGTAAGACTGTAGATGGGTGGGGATAATGGGGCCATTTTTCTTCTTTTACATCTTTTTTTTTTCAGTAAACATCCCATGTAATTAGCCAGGCTTTTGTTAAGGTGTTGAACATGACAACAGACAGGGGGTGAATATCGCCGCTAGTCACGCACAGGAACCAGCAGCCCTCAAACAATGGAGAGAAAGCGAGAGAGACGGAAACTGAGATATGGCTGAAAAAGAAACTCACACTATTTGTAGGTGGAAAGTAACATGTGATATAGTTTACAAAGAAAAGATAACATTGCTCAACAGCTGAGAATGTCGATTGCTCAAACTTCATTCCTTTTCACAGAGCGTGACAAGAGCTAAAATAAACGAAATGTCAACCAAAACCTCTTTCACGAGTTTAAGACATGGAAGCTGGTGTGTTTTGTTTGAGCGGGTATGGATGGTCTTCATGCCTGTTGTTTATATTATCATCTTTCCAGGGAATCAGGAAACATTTACACTTTTACCTTCTATGCACACACACACAAACATATTGGGAAATGACCGACTTCTTTGCACAGCTCAGAATGATAGTTTGCATAAATGAATAGAGGATAGAGCAAATGAGGATATACAGCAGTGAGGGTAATTTAGAAAGCAGATAGATGCTTGGCCATGACTTTTCTTGAATAGATTTAATACCCTTGCGCATAGCCAAGCGGTCTGACCTTAGACTAAAAAAGGGGAATATGGAAAGAAAACCCAGCAGATGATTCTTATCACACAAACTCACAAACCGGGCCATTTTAAGTGGGAAATGAGGTGTTTATAGAATGTGCAGATATAGGGTGTGTGTAAACAAGTGGGAATTTCCTGGGAATTTATAAGGAATGAGATGAAGGAATTGGTGCGTTTCCATGTGTTTTACCTGCAACAACAGTTCCCCTTCTGAGAAACTGACTCTATCCAGACTGGTCGTTGACTGTCCGTTTCCTCCGAATGTCCCTGACCGGTCGTTTAGCCATCCTGTCTTTTTGATTGTGGCTAAAGGAAAGAGAGAGGAAAAAAAAGAGTATGGTTACCACCATGAAAGTCATTCTATGCCAGTTTGATATAAGATTTAAACTAAAGTGAAAAAGTGACGTGACATGTTGCCAAGTATGGTGACCCAATGCAGTGCTGTGCACTGTGCTGTGCACACACACAGCAGTGAACACACACCTGGAGCAGTGGGCAGCCATTTATGTGGGATTTTGTGGCATTTATGCTGCGGCGCCCAGGGAGCTGAGGGTTTGGGCTTTGCTCAAGGGCACCTCAGTCGTGGTATTGAAGGTGGGAGAGAGCGCTGTACATTCACTCCCCTCACCTACAATCCCTGTCGGTACGAGACTTGAACCTGCAACCTTCAAGTTACGAGTCCGACTCTCTAACCACTAAGCCATGACTTCCCCAGGGAAGGAGAAACCACTGGGTTAAGTAATTTTAAACAAAGTGCAATAATTAATTACTTCAATATAGTCCATTACCAGGAATGGGGACAGGCAAAAAGCATATAACTATAAAATAACTTTACCAGATTTTTACAAAAGATTTTACAAAAATGTAAAAGTAATGTTGGCACCAGTTCTTCATTGTTAAAGTTGCACCATTTTGCTACAAAACCTAAGAAAAGATCACATGGCCAAGCAGCAAGTCACTTCCCTTGCACTGTTTATTCTTAAGAACTATGACTAACATGATCAATGTGACGTCCATTTTACTGTCACTTATCTTATTTAAAGCTACATTTACAATTGAATGTGTGTTTGGGAAATAGAGAGCATTACGGTTGATTAGGACTGTGTATGCACACGTCATCAACAGTTTCCTATCCAGATGTCTTGAACTTCGTTTTTTTTATTACTTGTCTTCTCGTATTTTTCTTCACGTACCAAGCAAAAATGTGTTTGAAAACAAGGGCCATTATAGTCAAATTTACAAGCTGATAGTCAATGAAACAAACTGTTTATTAGCTTAGGCTTATTTCGCCCTTTGGTTACACAAGTTACAATTTCAACATTTTGTCCAAGCAACAACTACAAATAATCTGCAAACATGTTACGACATCAATAGGGACCCACTGAAGTAAACTATGAAGTAAACTGTGAGGCAGATTCTGTGCTAAAATCTAAAGTAAATATATACTCAGATTTAAAGTTTGCCTTACATTTTATGTCACAGTTCACTGTGAGGCAAAACCGGATGCAAATGTAAAGTTAATTATGTGAGGTAAAGTCAGAGGTAACATTTTGGGTAAACCAAGGTAAAATGTGAGGCAGGCTCAAAGGTAAACCTTCAAGGTAAAATGTGAAGTAAATTGATGCAAAATCAGAGGTAAAATTTGAGGCGAACTGGGGTAAAATATAAGGTACAAAGTCTGAAGTAAATGTGAACTAAAGTTTGAGAATAAATGGTAAACCTGGTAAAAAAGTGAGACAAACTGAAGTAAATCTGTGACCTAAAGTAAAATACGAGACAAAACATCAGAAGTAGATGTGAATTATAGCTTGAGATTAAATGAGGTAAAATTGTGGAAAAGTGAGGTAAAATATAAGGCACAAATCTGAGGTAAAGTTTGAGACTAAATTAGGTAAAATATCAAATGTAAAATCATCACTCTGATGTTAACTAAAGAGAAATAGGCTACAAGGGAACTCTGATGTAAACTCTTTGGTAACCCACTACAAACCCTGTGGTAAATTCTGATGTAAAATCTGAGTCCACTTCTTGAAGCTCAGCACTGACCGCACTGAACTTGTGTCAGAGACTTTTTTATTTCAGCTGTCTGAGAGAAAGAGAGCGAGATTTCAACACTTTCACAGAGCACAGCCTGAATTTACTGGAGGTTTGAACACACACAAACACACATCAACACTCCCACTTCACACAACGCAATTTGTAATGCGTAAGGAAAAAAGTAGTTTTCTAAATGGGTCTAACTTCACTACTGTACAAAAGAACCTCAACTTGACGTCATTAAGAATAACACAGATAAACAATTTAGCAGAATTTCCAGTAAAAGTTCCAAATTCTGTTTTTGTGTGATTTTAACCATATTTTCCATACATTCCATACAAAGTAAAATGTGTAATTTAAAATTCCCATTGCTCTTGAATGAATGATAAACTAACTGATACTGAATTGAACACATCTCTCAAGTTTACCATGTAGTAGTGTGTTAGACTTCAGTTGGGAGAGTTTTTAGTGTGTGGAAATGTCTAGCGCTAGGTTAACGCTGAGCTAACATAAGCCAGTGGGTGTGGCTCGCTAAGCCATTTCCTCCCTGACCGGCGCAGATGCCGTGCTATTTCTAGACCTTAATCAAACACTCTCTATCACAAGCCTTGGACAGAAAACCCCCCCACAGAAGACCGAAGGAAAGAAAGAGAAGGGAGGGAAAAGCGAAGAAGAAGTGGAAGAGGGGGAAACAACAGCGTTTTTCTGCTAGGGTCCAAAAATATCTCCTCACAGGACAGATGTTGAGAGATTATTTGGTGAGGGGAAAAGCTGAGGTGAACGCAAACCACTTTAAACATGGACTGTTGATCGGTCTGGCAGTTTAAATTGCAGACAAATGTAAAAAAAAGGAAGAAAGACAGAGACAACGACAATGTTCTGTAGACGTTCACCACAGATCTTGATGGAGAAGTAAATACTGTGGGGGTGTAATACACACTCTGCCACCGCACCAAAGAAATAACTACGGAGAGCAAGGGGAAGAACTCTTGATGAAGAAAACAGACCATTTGGTCTCTAGCGCTGCCGCCGCTAGGCTTCTGAAGCTAAAGAGCGCTAGCACACACAAAGTTAAGCAGCTGCTCAGGAGTCTCATAGTCTACTGACTCACAACAACTCAATGACAGAGCTACACTCAACTGCGAGCCAGTCAAAATGAGTTTGTGTTTGGTTTCGCCCCTGTTGAACCCTTTCTGATGGTCTGGACGCTCCTGGCATGCATGTCCGTCAAACATTGGCAGCCTATTGGCTAGTGTGGTCCCGTTCTGACTCTATATTTAAAACTCCAGTCTTTCATAGGCATATCAGGCCTGTTATTAAAAATGGAGGTCGGTGGAACATCTATGTAATCATGATCAAACTCTTCTTCACGGATTGCACTGACCTCCACTGACATGTTTCCAGAGATGAAAAAAATGAGGAAAACGAAGTCCGGCGGGCGAGTGGTCACAATCTCAACACACACACACACAATCAGAACCACCAATCAATTGCCGTCTGTTCATCTGCCATTACAGTAATTCAACACACATGGCCCCTCAATGCAACCACGATGTGCTCTTTCCCTCGTGTTCCCTCCCACCATCTGCTGTACGTCTTCTTTATACTCTTCAATTTTGAATTGGGCATCTCTCGACTGCAATCTCTAAACCAGTTCTCCACTCGCTGGGTGTAACTGGAGAAAGTGTGAGGTCTGGTGTGGATGGTGATCAGGAACAGGGTGAACCTGTCTAATATGGGTCATTAAACCTACTGAAAGGCCCCAGTGACTCCCACTTGATGATCTCATTTATCTGCCTCTGATCTTTTCTGTTCTTTCCTTTCTTTCAACATAAAACTCTCTGTAATTGTGCTCAAATTGAGCCAGTTTTAAATACAAGCCAGGGATTGACTGAGGAAGGTTACACCCTTTGCAAATTCACCAGTGGTACCCAGTTGTAAGGTGGCTTTCTGACCAGAAGGTCAAGTTCTTCTTTGAGAACACTGACTTATTCCAACAACAATGCTTTTTTAAATCAAATTACCCAAAGTTGAAGTTTTCATTTAGCTGAAAACCTAAAATTAAAAGAGAAAACTTTTAGTTGTGTCATGTTTAAAGTTCTAGCCTTCTTGTAGCTCAAACAGTAGAGAACAGCTCTATCAACGCAAAGGTCATGGGTTATATTCCCAGGAAAGCAAGAACTGATAAAATGTGTACCTTGAATGCATTGCAAGCTGCTTTTTAGCATCTGGAAAAATGCATAAATGTTATATACTGTAATTGTAAATGTTGAAAAAACAGTCGTAGCACCATATTTCAGCCAATCAAATACTGCATATTGCATTGGTGGTTCTGATTGTGTGTGTTGAGATTGTGACCACTCGCCCGCCGGACTTCGTTTTCCTCATTTTTTTCATCTCTGGAAACATGTCAGTGGAGGCCAGTGCAATCCGTGAAGAAGAGTTTAATCATGATTACGTAGATGTTCCACTGACCTCCATTTTTAATAACAGGCCCGATATGCCTTAAATATAGAGTCAGAACAGGACCACACTAGCCAAAAAGGTCATGGTGAAGTGCGTTCACCAATACTGGTCAATACTCGCCCTAAACAATTTTTTTTTTTTTAGTTTTGGTTGCAAAAAAATGTTATGCATTGAAAACTACTTGCCATTGGACTACTCATTAACTACCATCCAAATTTTAGTATTACCTACAACAGTACCCATAAAACAATGCCAGAATACAAAGAAAGTCATTTTAAAGGCAGAGCAAGTTTAAAAAAAAAGACAAAATAGATAACAGACAAAATGTGTCAGCAGAGAAGCGCTTACTGTTTCGGTCAATGATTTTGTCCCACCAAAATAATTTTGGCCACAACTGAAAGTCCATTCTTTGCTGTTTCGGCCGGATATTTTTGGTTGCCAAATTTGTGGTGCAAGCACTAACTTGAACATTACCCATCATTCGATTACTTACTATATTACAGAGCCACATTTTTTTCTTTAAGAATAAATATCAACAACAAATTGTGCACAACAAAACAAGAAAAAATCATACATTTTTTAACAATATTATTTTTTAAATATGTGTAACTAGGCCTGGGCGATAAAATGGTATCAGGATTTATCGACGGTACACCTTCTTTGATAACGATATAAAAAATGTTCGATATAGTGCACGATATAGGCCCGTGCTATGAGTGACGCAGACAGCACACACAAACATGAACACATGCTGAAATGAGTGCTGTGCCTGCCTGTGATGTGGAGACTGTGAATAAAAAAATGTAT